GCTTGTCCACAATAGGCTTGGGCGAACGCCGAGACGAAGTCTGATGCGTCGGGCCACTTGTACTTAAATTTAGACTTGTTGGGAGTGCCACGGCTCCCATGTACAGACAGGCTGTGAAGCTTGAAAGATCTTGAAAGAGTGATGGGTTCCTGGCTTCGAAGATGCCGAAAGACCGAAGGCTGTCACGCAGCTGTGCGGTCCCGGACTTCGCAGTAAAAGAACTTTTTGAATTGAGAGATCCGGTTGGCCAACCACTCAGCCATGTACAGCAAACAAAGGCCGAGGATGGCAGAATGACGCACATGGTCGGATGACTTCTGTTCGGGTACCAGTACATCGAACACCTGGAACTCCGACTTTGTGCGAACGGGTCGTGTGTTTCGATTTTGTATTTAAGGACGGGCTCGTCTGCATAGGAAGCGACCCGGGTGCGATGTGCATATGCCGCGTCGAGGAGACAAAATGAAGACGCACATGCACTGACACCCTGAGGCTCTTGACACCACTGATGCACATGCTGCCAACAAAATATCAGCATCGAAGCATTGCGACGGCGCTGGTGCGAATTTCCCTGCTGGTGCAGCCGATGCAGGGTAAGGGTACGGCCAAGCGACGTGCTTGATTCAGTCAGTAGCAAGATGTGTTGTTTTTGGCGGCGGTGTTGCATTGCCAGCAATCCTCGTCTGATTCGTAAACTGCGCAGGGCATTTTATCATTCAATTAAATCCATCCAAGACGGACTTTGTTTCTTTGCCGGGTTTTGATCTTTGCGAAGAAAGAAGGGGCATGACCTGTCGACCGTTGTCCGAACAGTGGGCCAGTTCAACAAGCCACCGTCGACAAACTGAGCAAAACAGAGGAGCCAGGGGACAAAGAAGCCAGTTTATGTCATACTTGTGGGCTTCATGCTGCATTCTGCTTTTCGGTTCAGGCGGGCTCGGCTTGCTACCTGAACAGGTCCATCACGCTAAAGCTGGCTCAAGCCAAGCCAAGTTTTTTGCCTCCACCTATGTTGATCTATCTTGATCCGTGCGGTAATTCCAGGGTGCGAAACGGGTCTTGCCCGTGTCCGTCCACAAACTCATGTCATGTGCGGAATGTTCGGGATTTCGGCTCGGACACTTCTAGTGCCGGCAGTTCACAGCCTGTGCGGCTCGCTGATTCAGGCAGGCATGCACTACGCAAGCTGTGATATGATTTTCCTTCTGCATCCATGAAGCAGGAGCAAATGAAGATTTGGTTGTGGAGCCTCGCCACGGCAGCGTGTGGCATACTCGTGGAGAGGCAATCCTCGGAAGTGCATCTACAGCTTTCGGCCTCGCATTTGCCACCGTTCCCGCAGCCTCCGGTGCAGTCTGCCCTTCCAGAGCTGCCAACATTGCCACAGTCGGTTTTCGACATATCTCCACCGACGGTACGAATGATGCCAACATTGCCGCCGAATGCCTCTGAAGTTCCTCCAGCAACAAAGCAAAGGGAGGCATGAACTTTTGACCTGGTAAGACACGCAAACGCTGGACCATTGGAGTGAAAAGGTCCGTCGTCGTCCTTTGGAAGGTGGGCTCCACTTTGTACTCATCAGGTCTCGCGGAGATGACCAGGGTACTACTAAGGAATGCGACCTTAGCAGTGGGTTGGATTCAGAAAATTCTGCATGGATCTGCAGGCGAGCTGCTGGGAGTCGATGTAGAGGTGCCATAAACATAGCTTGCAGCCAGTGTTATCGCTACATCGGCAAATCAGTGCCAATAGGACGCTCTGGCCCAATAATACTCTGCAACCCTGCATGTTTTGGCACACATGGCAGCCACCAAGTTGCAGGCAAGCCACAGAAATGTTTGTTGCAACTGCCGATGGCTACGAAGCATCAAGGACCTCCCACCCCAGCTTGACTTCCAAAGAAGTTGGGAATCATCGACGTGAGCTGCGAGTGTTGTGTTTTATTGTTTTGTGGTTGTGTGTGCGAGCGTGTGTGCTCGCAGGCATGTTCTATACATATGCATCGCTGGGTATGTGTGCTTGTACAGCTGTTGTCAAGCTTGTTGCACCTCTTGTCTTTGCGGCTCAGAAAATGCACGAGTGTCACCACGTTATGTCAAGACTCGGCGACAGAGCACATGGCATCGCGTTTTAGGTCCGCGCCTCAATGTCAAAAGAAACACAGGTGCCTGGAACGCGTTTGATGTGACTTCTGGGGCAAACGGTATAACGATATCACGAAGGATTCCAGTCTTGGTTTCGGTTAGGTTGGTGCATGCTGCCGAGCCTGAAGAGGTGGTTCTTTTTGGCAAAACCAAGAGCAGCTCTGAGATCATGACCCGCGTAGCCGGCGAGCTGACGACAAATCCGTTCAGATGGGAGCTCAGACAGAAGAGATCTTGGTGGGCATGCAACAGAAGTCTTTGCCCTGTGTTAGGCCTGCCTCCTGAGCTGGAATGCTTCTGGATGCAAGAACCATCGGCCGAAAGGTCTGACGAACGCGTGCAGGCTCCCTTTGAGATTTCTGCACGGCCGTGAGGCTTTGTCAATGTCTGCTTGCCACAGGAACGCGAGTTGAAGGTGTGGGAGAAGCCCACTTGCTCATCCAGCTATGCTGCGATCTCCAAGATTAGCGAGTCTGAACTTCCTATGGCGTGTGACTCTTGGGCACGACATGGAAAGCCAAAGTCCGTAGCACTGTACTTCATCAAGCGAAAGGGAAACATACCCGAGCGCTCGCCATGAGGCCTCTGCCTCGCGCAGCCAAAGAAATGCTTGCTGCATCCAAGCGGAAGGTGCCCAAGTGCTTTTGATTTTTTGGTAGCTACTGAAAAGAGATCTCAGGTCATGGAAGAAGAGCAGCCAGACAACACCTTCCTGACGTTTGCGGCTGAAGTTCGGGTTTCGGGCCAAGTCGGGTCAGCCAACCACGGACAGTGTTGCAATTCAGGACAATGGCGACGAAGCCAGCCATTGGACTTGTGGAGACCCTGCGCAAGAGTCGGCTGGCAGTCAGTTTAGAGAGTGTCGGCGTTTTCTTGAGTCCACTTGTTTTGAAATCTAGCATGCTATTCACGTCACACCGCCTTCCCCAGGCGAAAAAGATGTCAGGACCTATGTGCAAAAGAAGCGTGAGGTTTTCCTCGTGCACATGGCGTGCGACAACAAGCGAGAGGAGATAGTTGGAATCTGAGTCCATGGTGCGCTGGCTTCAGATTCCATGGGCCATGCAGCTGTCCATACAACCCAAGGTGCGTTTAGATGCCATGGCAAAGGCGAAGGAAGATGCCTTGACAATTCCCCAGCAAATTCTGGACGAGGACACCAAGAAATTCGAAGAGTACCTCCAGGATCTGCTGGAAGTTGGTCGGTGTTGAACATGGGAATGCTTGCTGGGGGCTTGAGCTGCAGGAAAGAATCGCCAAAGCTTCTTCCTCCACGAAAGATAGCGAAATGCATGCAAAGGTCAAGCAGGACAAACTTGGGAGAATCAAAAGCCTGAGACAACAGATCGCTACCGTACAAAGCGAGACGAGCAAGCTGAAGGAGGCCGAGAGGGAAAAGAAGAGTTGCAAGACGTTCAGATGACCCTTGCATAAGCCCTATATAGGTGAGGGTGGAGTGCGAAAAGTACAAGATGTTCTTGGAGAAAATTACTCCCGCCGAATGGAAAGAAGAGCAGTTCGAGCCCCAGCTTCAAAGAAAAGGACCGGAGGGACAAGAAGCATTGCGCTGCCTTTGTGAGGAAGCGAAAGAAAGAACAAAGGAAGAAGGAACGAGCAGAAAGGCTCTTCCTTGAGAGCTGTGTGCCGGATCACCTGCATCTTTGCGGCGAGGTGGAAGAAGGAGCGCCTGGCCCCCTTCATGGAATATCTCGTGCATGAAGAACAGAAACTCTTCGAAAAGTTTGCTCAGGAGGACGCTGAGGCCGCTGTTACTGTATATGCGTGCAGGGCACGTCGAAGAGAACAAATGTCGTAGGGTCTTAAGTAGATGCGGTACATACGGGGACGGAGGCTTGCTGGTACTCGTAGCTTTGCTGGACGATGGAGTTGGTTTAACCTGAGTTTGTGCATGTGGATGCTCGAGCTAGATGTGATATTAAACTTTGCAGTACGCATAGATATGATTGTTGCGGTGGCTGCAGGCACACTACGACCGACAGAGATCTGTAAAATGAGCTTGTCATCGAGCCTGAACGAGCAAAGAGGGCTTCAGAACAGAACGAAGCGGAACATGCAGCAGCCAGCCGAAGTTGAGCAAATAGACACGTTCTGAAATACAGTTTCGGAACAGATGGTCGCGAAACATGCCAAGGAAACCAAGAGCAAAGGACAGTCAACAAAAATCTAAATCACTCTCTACTTGATGTGTTTCTTGTTGGCATTTGTTTGCCACTCCAACCTGTGTTCTGGCCTGATCCCCCTTTCCAGTTTCAGCCGCTCTCACAGTGCAACATGGATGTTGAGAGGCAGGAGCGTTGGGAACGCCCAGTATCTTTACAGAGCTGCTTTCTTTTTCATCCGAGTTCGTGATAGCAGTGTTCCGAACCCTTTTTGTTGGCTTCCCGCTGTCTGATCTCTTGTGTACTGTGTTGAGACAGGAGTTTGAAACATGGGCTCTGGCCGTCTTGCAGCATCATATGACTTCATCGAGGGATTCAGCGGGATTTGCAGACACCAGTTGAAGCACAAAGCCGCAAGCACAGCAGGCTGTGTCCGTGGATGTCTTTCATACGTTGTCATGAGAGGCCGAAGCTTCAAAGAAGCGCGGCAGGAAGCAACGGCGAAGAGAAGATGAGGCCAGATGCGAAGAATCAAGCATGACAACTTTGAGTCTGGATGCAGCGGCAGCGACAGAGACGGGGGAAACTTGAAGTCAACTTTTGGTGTTCAGGAAGAGCTGCAGCAGCGGCAGCGAGAGAGGGACAGTCGCCGCAAGCGCCTTCAAAAACGAAAAGAGGCAAGGAAGTGCTTCGGTGAAATGGGATGACGCGCCTTGCTGCAAAGGAGGAGGAGAGGAAAGTCGATGCGGAGTGCTGGACTCAGCGCTACACTTAAATCGCTAAGAAGCAAATGCAACGTGTGGTCGGGATGCTGACAGCTCCAGCCAGGTACGTTGCTATTTCTTCAGAGGAGGAGCCTGAGCTCTTCTTCAAGGAGGGGAGCGAAGCTCGGCCTCCCCGACATAGCAGTTGGGTTCGGCTGCAGGAGCCCCAACAACTCATGGACAGTTTCACAGATCTGGAAGAGCTGAATCTCTTCCTCATCCAGAGCTCTCAGGCCCACTGCTAAAGGGGTGTTTGGGCTTCTGAGGTATCTTGCAACTCTGTGATGAAGGAAGCCGAGCAGCAGCTGGATGAGATTCGGAATAGCTTCGAAGCTATGGAGAAGAACATGGGCCACAAGGCTTGTTGGACACTAGCATGTGCCCTTGGATATTGCCTCAATGCGTGCAGACGGTCAGCTGTAGGTGTTGCTATTTCGACCGTTCTATGTGCCAATTTTTGGTGTAATTGCTGCTGCAAACTCATCGTACAAATTGGCACGTCGCCGGCTTCTGCTGCATGGTCTCTCGCCTTGTGTGTGTGTGTGTTATCAGATGCCCAACAAGGGTGAACATAATTTCGTCAAATTTAGTCACGAACTCTGGCACGGTGGGTGCAGCAGACGCTGCTTCCTATGCAGAAACCCATCGCTGGCGAATGCAATTTCAGCTTGAACTTTTCTCGATCTGCAGCACTCCAGTGTGAGGATTTGCCGTGCCTTCTTGGATGAAGCCTGCAGGTGCAGCAGCTGAAGGATCAAGTAAAGCAGTTGGATCAAAGCATCAAGCAGGCCCGATACCAGTGTATAAGATGTTCAAGGACGATGTCTTGACCAGAAGGGAGTGAGTGCCCTGCCGAGGAGCAGCGCAGAGGCGAAGAGATAAAGCAACGCCATGCGGAGAAAGCCAGCACAGCAACACAGGAGCCTCTTAGCACTTGTGCGGCCTTCGAATTTCTGGGAAACCCAATCAAGGCTTCCTGTTGCTGCTGTACGCCTCACGCCCAAACGCTTACGCCGAGGACAAGAAATTAAGTAGCTTGGCGAAGAAGGCCACCGCGGTTATAAGTCGTGGTGGAAAACGGGCATGCTTTCGGCATCTTTTGCCCTCTTGCCTTCGCCTTGTGCGCATCCTGCCTGGCAGGTGCATGAGGTGTACGCTCGGTGCAATCTGGCAAGAGACCAGCAGCAGTCAGATACGCTGCAGATGCTCGGGGCGATCGAATCGCGGATTGAGGAGTTAATTCAAGGCCTTGATGAGGCTTATCAGCAGGACTCCTCTGTCGCATGTGTCCCTGCCAGGTGATTGCATGGCGTGACTGTCAGTGCATTAGTGCATGATGAGCATGCTCCAGATGAAGGATGAAGAGCTGGTAATGCGACTGGAGAAGATCAAAGAGAGCGATCGGCGTGAGCGAGCTTTAGGCTTAGCTCAATCTCTCTGTCCCAAATGATTGCAGGTGATAGTGCTCCTGCTGCGAGAAGCTAAGGTGCGCGAAAGCCGACTGAAGGAACAGCCAGAAAAGCAAGAGTTTCGGTTGAAGCAATCGCTGCAACGAGCGCAGAAGCCAATCTTCAAGAAGGCTTGATTCTGAGACGGCTTTTGTGAAGTGAGCTGGCGCTGGCTTCAATGACAACATCCCGTCTCTTTTTTGTATGCAATCGCTGAGGCCGGCAAGCAGCTCATGTACCGGTCGCCACCTCTACGTCAGGAGCACAAAGTAGTGGAAGACAATTCCGATGATGAAGCGCATACCAGAGACCACGAGGCTGCCACGGATATTTCTTGCAATTGGTGTTGAGAATACTTGGTGCATCTAGAACGAGGTTTTCGACATCTACATCGACAGAAAGACGGGAGTCCCGAATACGACTGCGCCTTCGGAAGAAACGAGGCGGGCTGGGCACTGGACAGATCCTTGTGACAACGTGACATTCAAAAGCCGTCAGAGTCAGGCCTGGGAGCGCCTCGCAGGCCTCGCATCGAGTCACAACGTCTCACCAAAAGCCGCCCCCGCGAGATGCGGCCGCTCCAAAAAGCGCGCGGCTGCCCAGCAACAGGGTGGTGGAAAAAGTCAGCTCTTTTTAATGCCTGTCCGCGGCAGAGCACCATTGCACTTAACCACTGCAGCATCTGGAGCTGGGCTGAGCTTGTCGCGCTGACGGCCGTTAGCGTCAAAAACTCCGTGCTTGTAAAAGGCATGTCCTGGATGTAAAGATGAAATGGACGTTTGCTTTGCTTGCGGTGGCGCAGCCCGCTGCTGCGTCGCAGCCCAAGTTTCACATTGTCGGTTCTGTGTTGTCTCTGACCACCACCACCTAAGGCAGAGCCCTTTCGGCAACGGACAAAGGTTTGCGCCGGGCAATGTCGGGGCGACAACTGGGGGCTTCGGCCAAATTCCTGGATGAAGCCTCAGCTTACAACGTGGTTGAGCCTGCGATGGCCTGCGTGATGCGGCATGATTTGACAGTTCTCCGTCGAGAGGTGTTGCCGCGCCCGGACTGCTGACACCGTTGGGAAGGCAGATGGAGAGTTGCCATGCACGTTACGAAACCTCTCATGAACCGACTCCAGGCAGCCTGGTTCTGTCGATTCAGGCCAAGGCCGCAGTAAGTCGGATGTTCCGCTCTTGGCTCGCCGCTTGCGCGAGGCTTTGCAAGACCGGCTGTTGAACCCTTTCAGCAGCCGGTCTTTGGGCAAATGGTGGATCCCTCCAGGCCACCCAACACGAAGGACCGGCCACAGAATGTGGCATATGGATCTTATGGTCCCGGTCCCACAGGGCTGCCACCCAATGGGCCAAATGCAAATTGGCAAGTTGACCAGAGGGTGCCAGAACATGGCCAACATGCACAAGGCCAGCTTGGCAGTCCCGAAACGAATACTTGATGTATGCTGATATCATTTTGGTCACTTCTCGTGCAGCTCGCCTGGTCAGGCAGCGGCGGCGAGGGCATGCAGGTTTTTCATGCGGCGGTTCAGCTCATGCAGAAGGCCCTCGGGGAGTGATGGAAACGTCTTCGAAAGCTAGCATTTGATGATGGCAGGGGCAGTTGATGGAAGCCAAGAAGGCCTTGACTGCTGCCGTGCATGTGCTTGCCAGGCTGTCTCGCTTGTGCATCGAAACTGGGAGGGGGCATCTTGAGGACTAGATGCATGCTTTAGCATGCTTTCAGGCCGGGTTCGTGCATCATGTGTTGCGTCCTGTTTTTGATGCATGCGTGGCTCTCGTCTTCTAAATCCTTGAGATCGTAATCACAGCAACCACTGGCTGGCGAACCAGACAGGATTTGTTTCGGGTTGCTGGAGCGTTTGATTCGCTTCTGTCGATAATTAATTCTGGCTGCTGATTAACGTTCGCCAGGGCACGTCACGTGATATTCTGCCTGTTGCCGCACAGCTTCGACATCGCATGGGCTTACCAGAGGCAAGGCGCAAGGCTACCTTGGTTGGTAGCACCGAAACTCGCAGACTTCCTACGCATTGTCAGTTTACGTGCTACCCTGCAGGTGTCGGCAGAGCAAGTGGAGGTGGGCGACGGAGGAACCGTTCGGCCGTGCCCACATACCACATCTCACTTGGCAGGTGTGGTTGGAATGGAGGACTGAAGGCAGGTCCGCTATTGGATGGACGGCCGGGGCACCAAGAACCCGTCATGATCATCTCTGATGGTGTGCGCTTCGTGCTCGTGGTCTGCTGGCTGAGACTTTGTCGTCAACTCGTACTTTGAAGGTGCTTCTGCTCCTTAGCGGGATTCTGTCCGTGCTCGTTCTCATGTACTGGGACAGAGCACAGAAAGGCCAACGGATAGCTGCCTTTGTCAGACAGTTATGGCAGCAAGTCGCGACATTGATACCGTCTTGGCGAAGGCATAGAGACGATTCTGGCACGCAGCGGACTTTCGCAGCAGACGGGTCAGACCGAGCCAGAGCCAGAGCAGAGAAGACCCGAAGTTGTCGAGCCGAGGCGCAAAGAAGGGCACCACAGCATCACCATGCTGAGTTTTGCCCGGGTTTGCTTAGGAACATGTGCCAGCATACTGTAGCAGGTTCATGCCAGCTGATGCTGGTATCGGTGATGATGCCGGGCAGCTGAAGAAGATCGACAGACACGAGCAGACTGATGCTTATGCTGTGCCAAGCGACAGCGTGGCTATCCTGGCAGGGCCTAAAGAGGAAGCCAGCCAAAATGAGATTTTCGACAGTGTTCCGAATGACTTGAGGGAGCCCGAAGCAGAGGAACATGTGGAAGAGTACAGCATGGCAGACTGCGAGGATGTCGCTACAGAGACTCTGCATGAAGGTGACCAGATCGAACTTCGACCCTCCGTGAAGGAGTTGGAACAGGAGCCCGCTTCGCCCGGAGTTGGAATCATCGAAAGCAACGGCGCCGAGTCAGACGAACCACCGGCAACTGGAACTGCGCAGATGGATGGTCCCGCGAAAGAGCCCGGATCTTGGAAATCTTGATTTCGCTCACGGGCTTCGCTTTGTTAGCAGCCTTGCCATCATGAGGTTTCTCAGCGACGGACTGCAGCCATCGGCGATAGTTTCAGCAGAGGCCCAAGGATTGGATGTGGCTCCTAGAGGGCAGCTCAGACCTTTCCTGCCCCCACCAGCCCAACAATCACCCATTGCTAATTGCAAAGCGAAAAGCAGACTGGTGGATCTGTGTCGAGGTGTTGGGCCTCGAGCAGGGCTGCCTGCCCCATTGAGGGATTATACTTAGGCTTTGAGGCGAGGTTTGTTTCCTCTCAAACGTACCAATGACAGTTGCCATGACAGCCGAAAGACACAGATGCACACAAGGAGGAAAAACAGAGTTGCAGCAATTGAGGACTCGTGACAACGCAGGTCTGTCAAAAGGGAAAGCAATGAAAAGGGTGAGGGATGCCAGGAAACTGAGGCAACCTCTCTCACTCGCCCGCCCTTTTTTACATTTCAGAAGGCTCAGGCTCGACCAATTCATACCAATTCGATTGAGTGCTTGTGCTTGCATTAGCATCAGCCCCGCAGTGACACGGTTTCCTCACACAGGCATTGCCAGATCATGCCTAGGTCGATGTCACGGATTTGGGTAGCAGCGCCTTGCAAGCCTCGCATCAAAGGGCTGAAGCAGGTGTTCAGCTCAGTTTTTCGACGAGTCAAAGCACGAAGACCAAGACCAAGAGTACAGCACCGGTTCCCTGCCTGAAGGTGAGAGACGGAATCCGGAAGCATTTCCAGATTCCCAACATGCGCAGCCACAAAAGGCCAAGCGTCAGGTATGGAGATCCAGGGCAAAGAAGGCAGGACTTGGTTAGCAAGCCGTGAGATGCGCAGAATCAGAAGCATCGGGCTCGCTACAGCTGAACCCCAACGAACGGAAGCGATTCTGCCGGTCATGGGCCCATAGGCAGAAAGACACTGTGATAAATAGATCGCATTGAGGTCTTTGCGATTTGTGCTCGTTCACGACGCTTCAATGCTGATCACTGTGCTCCTTGTAGTGCTGCAGCATCACTCCTGAACTATGAGCATTGCGCGCATCGTGTCGTGCAGTGATCCGCGTCAACTGCTGCTCCTTCTACCATTAATGAATTACCGTGATTCTGGTAGTACAATGACACGGTTGACAATGCTTCTTGTCTACTGCTGCTACTATTGAATTGGTAATGCGGTTGAAAGTCTCAGTCATACAAGCAGTAATTGCTACTATCAGTACATTGCGTCGGGAATCTAGAACATTTAATTGGAGAGTAAATCTTGCGATCTTGGTCATCTTGATCGGAAAAGCAAGAGTGCCAGCTTTCTTGCAATCTTGGGCTCATCTTGCCCATCTTGCCCCACTCGCTCGCCGACTACTTTAACATGTAGACCAAGATTACAAGATTGCTTGGCAATCTTGCTCAAATACTTGCTCTAGATTCCTTGCACACTGTTTTAGTACTAGTTGTCATATTAAAGCCATCCAAAACAATTATGGCGTGTCTGCTGCCACTACTACTACTACTACTACTACTACTACTACTACTACTACTACTGGGGCAGAGAGTTCCCTGCACCTCCTGCTCAACATTGATGATCAGGCCCGATGCCATACGGTATATTCGCATGAGTAGTACAAAAGGGGCGCACGGTCTTGGCGATGGGCGAGGTGATGAGTCACCATCTTGGTGGTGCAGGGTACCTTTAATCTGCCGAAACGGTTTTCCTTAAAAGAACATTTCCGTTCCGCCCTCCGACCGCAACATGGCGCAATCAGCTCGTTCGATTTCGCCCCAGCTTACGCTGAGTCAACACTGCAGTTACCACTGCGTCACAGTCTACAAAGTCAGCCCTTCTCCACACGCATGAAGAATGCGAACATGGTGCTTTTCCTTCAGGAAGGTATTAATACTCACTATACCGCCTTGTTGCACTAGCAGAGCACAGGCGTGCGCATCAATTGCACATGAAAAGGCCTCCAGAAGCAATCCCTTTGCAAGCAGATCGTGCCACAAGGGCATTCACCCACGGAACCTACACGGTAGCTCGAGTTGGCGATGCTGACAGGTATTGGTCTTGCTTAAGTAGTCAGGGCAAGAGAGCAGCCCTGCTTAGCATTGGTGTCAAGTCCCGGGAAGGGCCGTAGGTTCCACTGAGAAGGCTCGACCAACAATCAGGAAAGGAGGGAGCGGATGAGTCTTTCGGGCCATCCACCATACTTCTGCCCCTGCTCCTGCAACTTGTTCCTCTTCTCCTTCGCAGCAGAACAAGTTCACTTTGCATCCCGATCGGCAGCTCTTCGTGTCGGCGACTTTGCGTTCTGCTTCCTACATAAAGTCCGTAAAATTGCTTCGGTGCCGAAAGCTGCAAGAAAGCTATTCAAGAAAGCATGTCGTTTGTGCATCATCACTCTCGCTGAGCGCATTCTTCCTGAGGCATAGAAGGTACCGCAGCAAGAGCCACCGAGCAAAGACCTCATCAACAAGAGCACCCCTGTACTAGAGCTGGCAACGAAAACCAGACCGTGAACGAAGACAAGTGTTCAATTCATCAGTAAATCTCAACCAACCTGGGAGCTGAATTCACCTGTATGATACCACAACCCGGCTTCGTGACATCTTCAGCCGTGCAAGGGGGCAAAAATTATTTGTAGCTGCCTCAGCAATTGCACTGAAGCGTTCCGAAACTTGTTGGTGCTGGGATTCTTCACACACAAGCCGACACGGCTAACTTAGCCTCGGCATGTCATGCAGGCCGAAGATGCCGGACTTGTTGAAGCTGGGATGCTCGATGACGTCGTGGAAGCCTCGAAACCTGGTTTTACCACAGTGGGTCATGCAACGGACGGGCAGAAGGAGATGGTCACGCCAGGGAAAACAGGGCACACCAGCGCAGCCTCTAAGCTGCCATCCAAAGCGGAAGACTGGGGTTGGGGAGCTGGCCACCCACAGGCGCCCTGTCAAGTTTTCAGCCTAGTGGTCGAGTGGGAAGCTTGGCAGTGTGTTTCACAACATCTAAAGTCCCCTTCTGTTCAGGCCGCAAGTGATGGCTGTATCTATTTCGCTGGTGGTCCACCTCCGGGCCGCCAGATCCAGCCAACAGCGCAAGCTCCCGCCAAAACAGGACGTCGATGGCAAGCTGGAGGTGCGCAAACAGCAGCCTAGGGCAGACCCATGCCGGTTGGATCCAGATGCCCAGGGCGCGCCTCCTCAGTGCCAGACGCCTCTGTGGAAGAAGAACTGCACGCGCCTCATTCACGTGAGCTTAGAGCGGGCAGACAGCACAGCCGCATCAAGTCATAGGTGTGAGCACTACTGCCAAGTTTCAGAATGGCTTTGCAGGCTTGAGCTTGATGTCAAGCTGGAGCAGGAAGTGCTCACCCTGCCGACGTCCACATCAGCCCTGTGCAACATGATGCTGCTGGCGCAGGACGGCAACTTCTTCCTTGCCAAGCCCACGCGTTTCCGGCCACAGGGGTGCTTCCTGCGGCTTCAAGGCCACATGCTGTCAATCAATCGGTTTTGCTAGTCTCCACAACTGAAATCAATTGGATGAGAGGCGGTCGAGAAGCTTTTCTGCCTGTGGAGCACATCACGCCACATGCCGATGCTTCAACAAACGGCGTCAGAAGCATCGCGCGCACCTCACTCACCTGCCTCGACCATGGTGGGCATTGTCTGTGAAGTGCAGTCCTTGTCGGGCAGGTCACGCAATCGTCCAAAGGTGGACGCCTACGTGTTCGGGAAATCGGTGCCGGCCGTGTTTCCATGCTAACGCCAAACGAAGAGGCGCTGAGATGCAAGGCCTGAAGGGGGAGGGGGTGTCAGTGAGGCACCAGTCAGCTCCGAACGGAAGCTTCTTTCAAGAGAACGAGCAAAATGCCAACGATTTCAAGAGAGGTCCTTTCACCAGCCTGAAACCTCGGCATCGTCCGGAAGCTTGAAATGTGACTTGACAATGCAGCTGCAGCCCGAGACAAAATCTTGTATGGTACGTGGAAGCATGTGGAAGCCCAAGGCTGAGAGTATTTGATTCCTTCAGGAGCCAAGCCCAACTGCCTTTTTCTGGAGTCTTAGTCTTCCTGTGAACTTTCACGTCTCAACACAGGCGACTCGGCACTGGAAGGTTTTAAGACACTACTTACCTTCCCATGAGGAACCGTGTGTAGCTGTGTGTTGGGGTAACGCGCGAACGCTCGATCTTGGCGTTTTCCGTTGCAGCTTTTCAACCCAAAGGCGGCGCTTCCCTTGTTGTTGACAGTTGTTACCAAGCTAAACCAATAAGTAAACAAGCCAGAGCTAAGCTTAGATGCCAGCAGAGTTTCCAGCTACTGTACCGTTGCCTGAACCTTCGTAATATACAAATCGGTTGATGTGCAGGTGCAGCGAGCTTTTCGTTGTCTAAGTTGAGACCTGGAAAGTCACAGTGTTTCGGGTGTGATGCGTCTGTCTCTTTGCCATTGTTCTAGCTCGAAGTCTCAGCACCCGAATGGCGTGTAAGATGCTGCAGGAGTTGGAAGCAAGACGTCGGAACATGGAGGAAAAGATTGAGCAGCTGCCGGGAGCTTAAGCATGACGCCCCTGCCCGGGTTCGCAAGCACGGAAATCTGTTTGTGATTTTAGTATGTGTTGTTGTTCAGAGGCGAGAGAACTACAATCCTGCGAAATGGATCATCGGCTTCGTTTCTGCAGTGCAGCCCAATGGGGTCTACGTCAGCGTTATAGATGGGCAGGAGCTCCAAAATTCCACATGTTGCGTCGCATGCCTGTCGCTTTAATTGGGTTTCGCTACGTTTCTTGAGCGTGGCTACCTCCGAGTTCTTGCGCTGTCTCGTCTGGGCCAACTAGTTACGGCTTTTTTGCCACCAGCGTCGGGGGAGCGGTGCTTCCATCAATCACACTCCGTCCCCATCCGTTCGGCAGCCTACACTCCGAGCCTCTTGTTGCAGTGGCTCCCTGTCTTTTTCTCTGTCGCCCTTATTGTCTGCTGTGTCTCTGTCTGGTGCTGGTTTATGTTGTAGTTTTGTCGTTTGCGACAGGATGCAAGGATACCTCTGAAGGAACTGCCGGAGAAGTTCTTGATGCCGGCGGAGGCCGCTTGGCGACTGTAGAGACTGGAGTGACGAGTATGATCGATGATGCAGAAATTGCAGCTGACTGGCTGCCAGGAGGGCTCTGGCGAAGCCAAACCAACCCTCGAGGTTGGCCAGGTGGGCAGTTGGTTAAAAAAAGGCTGAAAATATGGCATCTTGCCAAAAGAGGCTGTCCAATTCCGGCTTGTTCGCTACTCGTGGGGATCCGAACCTTGGCTAGTGTTTTCAGGAATGGTTGCGTGCGGACCTTGCGGGCTGTTTGTCAACGCGCTTCTCCGAATTTCACATCGAAGGAAAGTTTCGCAGCATCCATGTTGCCTGTGGCGGAAAGACAGCAGAGGCAGCTCAATTTGAAATCTTGCTTTTGAACGCGGTGCTGGGACGGCTGAAAGGACTCGCGAGAGAGATCGCCCTACGGACTTCGAAGCCGAAAGGTCACGGCGCCAGGGTTCAATGTCTTGTCGGGTTCTCCCGGGCCTCCAGAATCCTGGTCCACTCGGAGTTGTCAGGCCTCCATCGCCAGATCGTTCAGCAGGAGCCAAAGCATGGGCGGCCAAGGTCAGGGCGTTTTTGATGGGCTTGTGAAATGCACTTCTGATCACGAGCTGGTGATCTTCGAATCAGGGATACAGCGTGGTGACACATGAAGCTGCAGTGGAGCTCAACGGCTGGATTCGCTCCAGCATAGAGGCGGTCAGTTTTAATTTCATGCCGCTAAGGACACCCCATCAATGTTCTGTTGGTGTTAGAAAATGCAGGAGAAGAAGTCGACGAAGGGCTCGAAGGCACTGGTCAAGGCGCCTGACGCAGCAGAAACAGTGCCCTCACAATCATGTTCGGCGTTTGCCTCGGCCTTGGTTGCAGACCAGCAACAAGACTTACCTGGTCAGCGTCGTCCGTGGCATGAATACGAAGGCAGAACCATTGGCTTGCATGTTCTTCACCAGCATCGCCGATTGCGATGAGCCCGCTTCGGTTGACCAGGCTGTTGGCAGCATCGATGTGGAGAAAAATATTTCGGACAAGGAGGCGCAGCCTTGCGTGCTTGCGCACTTGTGCTTAGCCGTGCCGGAAGGTTAAGCAAGCTGCCGTGGACTTGCTCTTCAAGCAGAGCCTCTTGAAGGTCTGCGTGTTGCATCAGTGAGCCAGCTTGTCCTCCTCTTCTGTGTGAGGCCGGGGAACAGCACAAAGGTATTGTCATCACAAAGAACATCATCAGCATCAAATTGTGAGAGGCAAACCGTGGGACGGGTGGTGGCTGTGCTTGTACATAACAGCAGCTCGCAGAACACATGCGGAGCACTGCGCAGTCAGCCGAACGATAGTTCAAAAACTGCATCTCGCCGCACATTTCTCCCACCAGATACCCTGGAGACGTTCAACAATTCATTACTTGGTTAATTCTCTCCCAAACTCAATAATTGAAATCTGATATTGCAGTAAATATTCGGCTCGATACAGAAATAATATTCTGAGTGATTTTTTAATTTTCTGATTATTTTGAATAAATTCAATTTAATATATCTAATTCGAAATTCATGATCCTATTTATTTATTTTAGAATTCTTTCGAATATGGTAATTGAAATAGACATAAAAAAATATCTTTCTAATTATTTCATGATTCAAAATATTTAGCATAATAAGATTTCATTCATTAGGTTATTTTATTTTAATGATTTCGAATAATAAGACCTCGGCAATAAATAATAGACATAAATAATTAAGATAAATTAGATATAAAAATTATTTATTTATTTAATCTTATATTCTCTAAGATTGAAATTTAATTATAATTTTTATAGAAATTATCGAATTAAAATTAAACCGATATCTATAAAAA